CAATGTATCTGCCAGCTCTTCCTGCCAGTTCTTGAGCTGGTTCAGTGTTGCTTGCACTTTATTTATCCTCACTAGAGGATATTTTTTCCATTGATTTTTAGAGAGAGCGGAAGGGAAAGAGGAGGAGGAGAGAAACATTGATGTGATAAAAATATTGTTGCCTCTGCACATGCCCCAACTGGGGCAGGGGTCAAACTTGCATCTCAGGTACATGCCCTTGACCAGGAATTGAACCTGTGACCCTTTGCTGTGTGGGCCGATGGTCTAACCATAACTGGAAAAATATAATATGGAATTATCTGTCTTTGTAAATGTCTGAAAGATGTCACTGGTAAAATTTTCATACAATGGAACATCTTTAGAGATAATTATCTTAGGGTGAGGTAAAATTATCCACTTAATTCACTTTAAAAAATCTATTGACACTTTAAAACATATTTTCTTATTTGTTAAAATTCTCCTGGTTTTATTTCATATTTCTTTTCTACTTCTACTTTCCATGAATGTTCTTTCTTTTATTTTTTTCATGTGGGTTTTGAATTCACCATTTTAAAAAGTTGCAGCTACACTGATGTTTATCATTTTTACTTCTTTGCTGAGCTTTAGGATATGTTCCAATTAAGAGATATACAGTTTAGGATATAGAACTATGCATATTGTAAGTAGCAAACGCAGGCTGTACGGTACAAAAGCATATGGATCTGGCTAATTGGAAAGTGGATTGGGTAGAAAGAAAACTGGGAGGAAGAGGAAATCAGTTTCCGCTCTGCCCAAACGTTAGATTTTAGCCCAAGAGGTTGGCTTAGCCCCAGTTCCGCCCTTTGTTGGACACAATATATGATCAGTATATTTTCAGAAAGAAAAAAAAAAATCCACCCATGGGGTAAGAATCTAAGCATCTATTTTCCATCCCAGCCACAATCAGAAGTCATTCTTTGCATGTATTCAACTCTGTATTTGCCTGCGAACAAAACTGAAGCTGGCAAAAAGATGGTCCATGTGAATTAGTTGGACAACAGCTTCTCATTGTGTCCGATTACATTGAGGCCGGCTCGCTGGGAGGAACACTGGCTGATATTGTCATGTCCCCCCCATGCCCATCAAGTTAACCCGTTTCTCTCCCACGTAAATGAATCGATGGTCCTTCCCAACGCGGTGGGCGAAAGCTCTCTAAATCCTCATCGCAGCTTGGTAATACTTTAGGAATAAAAAGGCAGTTTATCTTTCCCACGATAACCAGTCTTCTTTGAGGGTCCCTAGACCAGCTCGCCAGATTACATGGTTTCCTGATGTTTGAAATAGCTCTCCTAGCCAACGAAGCAAGGAATTGTGGGACCACGGCCTTAGCTAGCAAAAGGAACATCCAACTTAGAAAAGTCTCCTGGCCCAGCAAAGTGGTCCAGAGGCCAAAACAATCACGTCATTCATAACACCAACTATTCTGGAATTTGCCATCGACCACTAGGGGGATAGATGGATGACAAAAACTCTAGCCCAGATGGTTGGCTTCCAAAGGTCACGTGTAAGGTCGCCTAGTTGAGGTGTTGGGTGGGGCTTAAGCTATTGGACATCATGGTTAATTGTCCATTTCAGAGGCTTGTTGGAGGCAGCACCACGGATCTGGGAAGGCCTAAACCCCATCTTGATCCCCCTCCTCCTCCTCCTTGGAGAGCCCACCACTTTGGGGTACAAAAAGCAGGGTTCAGTTCCTGCCACTTGCTGGTTGTGAGCTCCAAAAAGCCACCGTCGCTCCTTCTTAGGAGTAAAATGGGCTTATACGATCAGCCCTCCCTGTGGGGGGATTTGAATGAGACACAGGCCCCCGAAGCACTATGGGTAATCACGTGCTGTGCAGGTGGGATGACAGTTACTCTCTCGCTGTCGCTCCCTCTGTCTGCGTGGGAGAGAAGCCAGCCGAAGCAGCTGCTGGTCATAACCCCCCTCCCACCCGGGAGCCCCGATCTAGAGGTAAATAAAGGAGGTGCAAGAGGGAAGGGACTGAACATGTTAAATTCCTTCTGTCACGAGGCTGACAGCTAATTTCCTTCTGGCCAACTGTGATTATTCTCAGGGCTTGAAGCACAGGATTATTTTCATGGCTGCTCACTGTTAATTAGCGGAGGAATCCGCAAGCCTAATATGGAATCCGCTCCCTGGCAGCTAAAGCGTCTGATTCCTCTAAAGAAAGTTCAATGTTTTACCTAAAGTAAAAGGTCAAAACTGAAAAATGCCCGTATGCCTTTGGAGGCAAAGAAGTATAGTGCAGAGAGAGGGACTGAGATTCAAGTCCTGTCCCTTTTGAGTTGTGTGACCCTGGGCTAGTCACTGCACTTCTCTGAGTCTGCATTTAAAAAAAAAATTATATATATATATATATATATATATATATATATATATATATATATATTATTGATTTCAGAGAGGAAGAGAGAGGGAGAGAGAGAGAGAAACATCAATGATGAGAGCCAACCATTGATCACCTGTCTCCTGCAGCCAATTGAGCCCACATCCCAGGCCTGTGCCCTGACTGGGAATTGAACTGAGACCTTTAGGGTTCACAGGTCAACACTCAACCACACCAGCCGGGCTCTGAGTCTGTATTTAAAATACAGCAATAGTATGAATCCTGCCCTCCCCCACAGACAGACCACTGCGTGATAAATGAGATAATACGTAGGGAGTCGCTGAGCATCATGGCTGTGATATCAAACACCTTGTCTGCCTTTGGTGTGTGCCATTGGTAAGGATAGCTAACCTTCCTGGACCTCTGTTTCCTTACCTGTGAAACGGGGCTAATAATAGTAACCGGTTTAGAGGATGGCGGTAAGGACTGAAGTGTAAGGGCAGCGAAGAGCTTGGAACAGATGGGGCCAGGCCAGAGCACGCAGACAGCACACATTAGCTCTTGTTATTGCAAAGGACGAATGTAAATAAGACAGAAAGACTCCAGCGTTTCTGAGTGCCATTCCAACAGCAGCAGGATCGCTGTTCAGAGACGAGGGAACCAGCTCGTCTCTGCAGCTCCGTGTGGAGGCAGGAAGGGGCTAGCTCGCCAAGGGTCCCCTCAGGACCCAGGGAGGAAGCACTGCCCAGGTGCCAGAGCGAGGGAGGCCATGGGTGAAGGACAGGATCCCGCAGAAAAGTTGGCCGTGACTGAGGGACAGGTGCGGGGAGCAAGGGAGGGCTGTCGTGAGGTGACAGACTGCCGGGGGAATAGCGTAGCCATGGCGATAGGAATTGGGGAGGATGCAAAAACACCTCTGGCGGGAGGTGCAGGCAGGAAACGGCCCAGATGCCAGGAGGGGAGCCCCTGAAAGGGACAGGGGGCCCAGGTGAGAGCATGTCTAGAACCACATAAGCATGAAGCGGTTTATGTTTAAGTGGTCCCGCAATGCAACGCCCCCATCTTTACCCCACCCATTCTCCTCCGAATTCTTTGGGAGGAAGTGACAACGATGAGTGTTCATTGCTGTTCAGTTCCAAATGTGAGCGTGCATGGGCACAAGGAGCCTAAGAGAGCGATCATCACTCCCCTCCCCTCTCCCCCCTCCACCCGGGACAGCAGCCCAGGTGGGAGTTGCCCAGTCTTGCCCGGTTTCCTCCAGGCTTCCAGAAGCTGCCTGAGGACTAGCAGAATCTGATGGCAGTGCCACGCGGCCCAAACTCCCGGCAAAGATTTATAAAGAGCAGCCGCCACGGGAGCGGGCATGCAGGCCAAGGTCAGGGAGAGTGGCCACAAAACAAAAACAAAGCAGGGGGGGGACCCAGGCGGGCCAGTACCTAATCGCTTCCTGAGAGTCCATGCAGCCCAGGCTGCCGCTTCCTGGGGGAAGGGCTCCAGCGGATGGAGGCTGGACAGGGCCCTCTGCTGGGGTCGCTGCGTCCCTGCAGCAGCCTAGACACCGGCTTGGGGGGAGGGGGGCGACTGATCCTCATGGGGCTCCCATGGGTGAACTTCCCTCTTGCAGTGCTTCAGTCCCTTTCTCCCCTCGAGGTCTGGGGCCCTGTAGGGGTGCCCTCGGTGCGGGGAGAGCAGAGCAGAGGCCGTCAGGCTGCCGAGGCCTCCACAGCTCCCACCTCTGGCACCTCCTCGGGCCCCGGAGCCCATCCGTCCACAGAAATACCGGGGCGGAGGCAGAGAGACCCCAACTCTCCTTTCTGGGTACTCGGCTTGTTCTCTCTTCCTAGAAACAGCCCCTCCCCTCCGGCCTAGCGCCCCGGGGCCCGAGCTCTACGTCCCCACCCGGCGGGGGCGCCCACGCACCCCTTCTCTGCGCAGCCCGTTCGGCCTGCAGTACCACCCAGTGTCCGCGGGGGCGCCCCGTGCCCCGCAGCGCCACCTAGGGGCCGGGCACCTCCTCCTTCCTTCTTCCCTCGCTCCCTCCCTCCCTCTCTGCCTCCCTCTCTGCCTCCCTTCCTCCGGGGTACCCCCGCCCCCCGCGCCCCGCTTACTCCGCAGGGACTCCCCCTCTCCGGGCTCGCTCGGGCAGCGGGACCTTCCTTCCCAGCCCGGGCCCAGGGGCCGCTTGGGCGCCGGAGCCGGCCCCCCTCCCGCCTCCCCGGGGGACGCGGGAGCAGCGAGAGGCGCGGCCGGGGCGGGCCCGGGGATCGGGCTCGGGCGGCGGGCGGAGGCGGAGGCGGCGAGGGCCGGCGCTGCCGGAGGAGCCGGGGAAGCCGGCGGTGGCAGCAGCGGCGGTGACGGCGGCGGGCGGCGCGGGAAGCCCCTGTGATTGGCACAGCCCGGGCCGGAGGAGGAGGCGCGGGGCGGGCGGAGGAGGCGGAGGAGAAGGAGGAGGAGGAGGAGGAGGAAGGGGGCGAGCGCAGGCAGCGGAGGCGGCAGTGAGGAGCTGTGTTGCCACCTCTCCAGCCCCGGCAGGCAGGCAGGCAGCACCGGGGCGGCCGCCGCGGGCCAGGGGTGGGGGCAGCACTTGGCCTCGCCGGGCAGCGGTCCCGACCCCCGGGCCGAGCGGCCAGGCGGCGGCGGCGGCGGCGGGAGCAGGATGCAGGGCAAGAAGCCGGGCGGCTCGTCGTCGGGCGGCGGCCGGAGCGGCGAGCTGCAGGGGGACGAGGCGCAGAGGAACAAGAAGAAGAAAAAGAAGGTGTCCTGCTTCTCCAACATCAAGATCTTCCTGGTGTCCGAGTGCGCGCTGATGCTGGCGCAGGGCACGGTGGGCGCCTACCTGGTGAGTAGCCGGTGCCAACTCCGCCGGCTGGCACGAGGAGGGGACGGCGGGCGTGACCTCCGCCCGGCGTGGAGGTTGGCGAGTGGTGCAGAGGCGGCTGCCGGCGGAGCTCCCGGCGCTGGGGCTGCCGAGCTGCAGAGCGAGCCGGGAGCTGGCGGGACCGCGGATGCCGGCAGCTGCTCCTGCGGCCGGCGGGGGGCTGGGGACCCGGGGAGGGGAGGCTGCGAGCGGGCAGGTGGGCGGGAAACCTTGCCTGTCCCTCTGGAAAGTGCACCCAGACAGAGAGTGGAGACACCCCCCTCCCCTTGGAGAGGAAGGCATCGCGGATTTGGGGTGACCTGCACTTGGGAAGAAGAGCTAGTTAGCATCCTGTGTCCTCGGCTCTCTCCATTCCATCCGCCTGGAGAACAAATCCATTATGCATCATTTTCTCCATCCGCCAATTATGGGGGTGGGTGGGTGGGTGTGTGGAATAGATTTAACAGCTTAGAGGAAATGCGCCCGAGGGTGGTCTGATCCCAACGGGGCTGAGTGGGGACCCCCCTGCTCCGTATCCCACTAGCCATTCGGGGCGCCTGGAGTAAAGTTACCATACCTGGGGAGCAGCTGTGAGTTTGTGTAGTTCCTGCACCCACTCTGAGCCCTAGGTTCTCCCCATTGTCCCCCCCCCCCTTGTCTGTGGCCCACAGGAGGTTGCATCATTTCTCGCGCTGTATGTCTGTTTGATTCGCCTTCTAAAGGGATAATGATGCTCAGAAGGCCCAGGGGTGCATAACGGAGCGGAGGAGACGGCTGGTAATGACTCAGCATGTCAGATGCCCCCTCTGCTGCTCTCTCCTGCCCCGGCAGGTGGTCCCAACCTTAGAGCCAGAGAGGCATGTCCCCACCCGAGCACAGTCCTGCCTAAACATGAGGCGGTTTTTCTGAGTGTTTGGTGTTAAATCATCACTTGACTATTGACCCGAAACTGGCCTGAGATGTCACAGACTTCCAGTGTTCGCGAGCAAGTTTGTGAAAACAGAATGGGATATGATCTTGGCTATTGGCTAACCGCACTCAGAGAGAGAACTTTTCCCCGGGGTACCCCTCGAGCCTCCTTCCTGGCCATGGGTTCCGGTTCACGAGGGCCAGACGCGAAGTCCCCTGGATCATTCCTAAGCCACGTCTCGGGACTCCCGGCTTGCCGTCCGAGGGAAGCGTGAGCAGGCTCGGTCTGCGGTGTGGGGCAGTCGGGTATGTGGCTCCGATAGAAAACTGTCCAAACCCGGCTCCGTTCGTGGGGTGACCAAGTCACAAAGCTTCTGCAAATCAAGTGCGTTTCCTTTGGTCTTTGTGAAGTGAAAGGAGAGTGAGACCCGGTCCCTGGACACCCAGGATCTGTCTTGGCACATTTTGTTCTGTTTAGATTTTTGTTGTATAGGATGCACTTTTTCTTTTTTTCTTACCGTTATTATACCCAGTTGCACGCAGTACCTGTGGCCTTTGGATTTTTTGGGGGGTAGGGGCAAACCATGGCTTGAGGGTCCGTGCATCAGAGGATATTTGTTAAAATATTAAAATAGGTGCCTGTGTGCCTAAGATGCAGATGCATGTTCATAAACATACGTGGGTCTTTGTGGTACCATGTGCGAAGTATGTAATTCCTCAGCAGGTGGGTCCGTGTTTCAAAGAGGATAATTAGCGTGCGAACAGCTGCCTCCAGTTGAACAGTTTGTTTGCCTCTAACCAGTTTTGTTCAGCCGGGCGCAGCGTTCACGCGTGGCAAAACGCCAACAGAACTTTCCCCACCACGAGTGACAGAGGCACGGCTTCGTGCTAGCTCACATAGTGATCTGCGGCTTTTAGAGAGGAACGAGGCTGGTCTCCCATGAGTGGCCCAAGCCCGTTAGAAAGGGAAGCGGAGGGCTGGTGGGGGGATGGGGGGGATGTATAGAGTCAGGGCTGGCCCCAGGGGATAGGAAGTTGCCTTTAATCCTGATACAGGCGAGAGGCAGCCGGAGGCAACCAGCCCATCTGGTGGGGGTTCCTCGCCCTCCCGGCCTGGGCCGGTGGAAAAGCCTGGTTCAGGGGCAGGGCGACAGCCATCAACAGGTGACCTGGCCGGAGGCAGATGGGGCCCACGGGAGGACAGGCCCCGGAAGCGGACTCCATTCTGATTCCCAGGAGTGCTTACCATCAGGCGCTCGGGGCTATGCCTCGCCTGGCTGCCCCGGCCTCTCCGCCGTCATCCGTGGGAACCTCATGAAAATAAACAGTTTGTCCGCCAGGGCCGACTGAGCCCGCTTGCCACGGGGTTTTGCTCTTCTGGGAGTGCTCATCTGTGATGTGGCAGGCGGGATGAAAAGTTTGTTACTCCTCCAGCTACGCGAGACTTCGTTACGGATGATTGGACAGTTTACATGTCAGGATGTTTGCAGGAAGGCACATTTCTCCCTGAGAACCGCTGATGGCAGGTGATCACACACGCAGGGTCCGTGTGCAGGATGCGTGTCCTATGGGATCGCCAGTCCTGGGCCCGTGACGTGATTTCCTACTAGGTTCCAGAAGTCCACGCGGTACCTTTATGGAGTCCTCCCTCCCAAGTGCAGTGTTGGACACGTGAGGCTTCGTTTCCGCTTTTCCCTTTTCTCTCTGAAAAGACAGATTTCTCGGTATCTTGAGCGACACAGGTGTGGTCTTCCCATCTGCTGACCTGAAACAGGAAGTAGCCTTGGATTTGAGAAACCACAGTGAAAAGCAGGACTTTCAGTGTGTGTGTGTGTGTGTGTGTGTGTGTGTGTGTGTGTTCCTTTAAGGAGCCTGCCCAGATTACTCTTGGATATGAGGAAGCCACCCATCACTAAGCTAGCCAGGGGGCCAGCAACTCCTGCATGGTGTTGGGGGATCTCTCAGGGGAGTGCAGGACACTGACTTTGACCCTGAAGCCCAGACTCAGTGATCATGTGGGTAAGGTATTCCGGCTGCAACCTGGGTCAGCTGTGGATTCTGAGATCTGTTCCTGTTTCACATCTTTTTTCATTGGAAATCATGCTTTGGATCAGCCAACAGTCCCAGGGGTGTTTTCTCTCCATCACTGAAACTGCAAAAACAGTCCCTCAGTGGAAGAAGAGAGACCCACCCGTTCAGTTTGATCGTCACCATATGAGAGGTAGAGACTACAAGTTCATATTCCTTTACTCGGGCCGAAACTGGTTTGGCTCAGAGGATAGAGCCTCAGTCTGCGGACTGAAAGGTCCCAAGTTCGATTCCGGTCAAGGGCATGTACATTGGCTGCGGGCACAGCCCTGGTAGGGGCTGAGCAGGAGGCAGCTGGCTGATGTTTCTCTCTCATAGGTGTTTCTGGCTCTCTATTCTTCTCCCTTCCTCTCTGTAAAAAAAAAAAAAAAAAAAAAATCAACAAAAAATATATATATTAAAAAAATATTCCTTTACTCGGGACTTGTCTCCTGGCAGTGCCAGTCTGAACTCTGACCTACGTGCCAGGTTGTAACATCTGCCTGAATCTTGGGCCGCCTGGGGAAGGCGCAGGCCTATGGGAACGGGATGCAGAGTTATCTCGCGCGCACTTGATGGTGTTTGTGGAGATCCACTGAGCTGTTGCACGCCATCAGCTGAGAGGTGCTGGCCTGTGTTATCAGGTTCCTGAGGCCTGGGGCAGATAAGGCCGAGGACAGGAAATTAAACCCTCCGCCACCCACATACAAAAACGCATTTGAATTCCCTCGGGATCAAAACGTAGAAAAAAAAATGCCACTTTCATCTTTGCTCGGGGGCTCACAGGTGGTCCCCAGGACCAACGGCTGGGCGTGTCCCTGTGCAGAGTTATGCAAAAACGAGGCCTGAGGTTGTGTGGCCAGGCAGAGAGATGAATGGCTGTCTCACCACGTTCTGGCTCACTTGAGAGTCACTTGTTTTTCTAGGCCCGAGAGCAGCCAGTGGGACGGTGATGAATTGGCGCGGTGACCCTCTGGATTTTTATTATTTTTCCTAAAGAACCAGCATTTAAAAGGTGGGTTTTGCACATCGAGCCCATGAGCTGGCAGCTGAGAGACATTTTGGAAGCCCTTGTCAAATTGGTATGATGACTAAGGCAACTGTCTTTCACTTAATCAAATTATTTTTACACACTTACGGTTTATTCAGAGTGACAAATTCCCTGCCATTTGCATAATCACTCTATTGCCCCAGGTCGTAAGAAATAAGATCACCCTGTTGTTGTTGTTTTTATTTCTTCTTATAGCGTGGCTGACAATGTTTACCTAATAATTATGTAGGGGAAAATATTATTTCTGAAAGTTCTTTTCAACCTGCTTTGTGTACATACCTTGGTTTCTGTGCATGTGTTTAATAATTGAAGAAACAAAATTAGTTGTAGAGTAAGCAAGATCTTCCTGAATTTTGTAACTCTCTCCCTTTTGGGTTGGAGGAGGGTGATCCAGAGGCCTCTTTGCTATGGCAGGGCCTTGCTAATCCATTGCTCAGCATTTAAGCTCATTTTTTTTTTTTAAATCCTCACCCGAGGGTATTTTTCCATGGATTTTGAGAGAGAGAGTTGGAAGGAAGAGGGAGAGCCTAAGAGAAACATCGATGTGAGAGAGACACATCCATTGGTTGCCTCCCGCCCCTGCCCCGCCCCGTCCCTGCCCATGGCCAGGGATGCCTGCTGCCGGAACAACATTGCTCTGCATTCGCTGGATAAGTTTCCTCTGGTGATAGGCACCTTAACCAGAGGGTCTCTGGAAATTCCTCCTGCTCATGGGCTGCCTTGTTCAGGCACCTGATTCACTGGCCCTGGGATCAGTGTCACGGAACAAGCAATGATGAGCACACAGCTTACTTCACATAGACGCAGGCCTGGGCTCACGATGAGATCTGTGATGCTATTGGCTGGTGACAGCGATAGAGCAGAGGCTGGCATTGGCCTCCGAGTCTGTGCCAGGCCTTCTGCAGCGCCGACAGGAGGGGCAGGGACCTGTGCTGAGCTGACCCTTGTCCTGGGA